TTTTCCGAAAGTATTAAAGAAAATTGTATCAAAACGTGATAATGGTTCTAAGAGGATGCAATTTTTAAGATATATTGATATGATTTATAACTGTTGGCTGGGCGAATGGATAAAAACAAAATGGCCCGCTTTCGAATGATTTACGACCGACCTTGGTCGAGGGGAAAATATCGAAAACCTATTGCCAAAAAGCCAGAGTCAATTGACCTCAGTAAAAAATGTTATTGATTGTGAAAATTATTCGAGATCTCTCGAGGTGTTACAAATGTAAAATAATGTTATCGCAAGTTAATGAAGTACGCGACCATCATTGAATTAGCAAAGTTATATCTTTAACTGATTTTGATACTTTCTACTAGCCGTATCGGTTGTTTTCGTCCGTCTTTATCTGCGATTAATGTCATTCGTTTTTACATAAGAAAGTGTTGTATCACTCATCAGAATGAGCGCGTTACACAGCGCGTAAGCCGCAAGACTTGTCTATGTGTAACGAGGCAATTGAAAATTGCAGAATAAATTCTAACGAATTCCTATTTCTTTTAATGAGGCACGTTTTCAGATCTTTAAATCCGCATCGCCTCTTTTCTTACACGTAAATGCTTCCTGCCCTGAAATATTGCGAGATATTTGAATGCGCAATGTTCATCTTTCCTTAACGCGCGCACTACGTCAGGTTTGAAGGAAATGAAATGTCAAATTTCGGTATTTTCTCTTTTCTGTGCATAAGCGCAGAATAATGCATGAAGTTTTACGGGAGGGAGTGCGGGCGGCAACAACGACGCCAAATGCCGAGAACAAAATTTCAACACTGTGTTCTTCACTAGGGATTAATATCGCTTTGCATATTTACATATTCAAGTAACGCCACGTTTCTTGTCGGGGCGCAATGGAAAGAAAATATTCTTACTTCACTTATTACTCGAACTTGGCGTTAATCGTAATTGAGCATATATGCTCGTTAAGTGTTTCTTTTATGATTCGTAAACAAAAGCCGATGTCTCTGTGGAGTGGTATCGGAAAAATTAATGGTATCGGCAAATTTTACAAATCTTTAAATCTTCCATAATCTTCAAGGTAGTAGAGATTCCATGAGAGAATACGCATAGTATTTTTATGAATAATTCGCCTGCGTTTTCAACTCGAGAGCGTATTCCATGTATAATAGAATGGGTAAGAAGAATAATATGGTAACTCAAACACTTTGTCGTTAAAAATATTGTAGGTGCTGTTGAAAGAAGTTTTATCGCTAATCTTTTAAGATTCTCCGCAGCTTTCGGATTCTAGATATCTCAGAAAATATTCAAGAATCACGTTTCCAATCACATTTTCATCTTGCAAATTGTTAATAGTCGTCCAAAGTTATCAATAGACTATCTTTAAAGTATACAATGTGTAGCTGGAAATTAAAATCGTAATTGCCTAAAAATTATACGTATAAAAAATATATAAATGAATGAAATTTGCGCGAAAGAGGTACATTGTTGTTGGAGTAATTTTACATAATAATTTGTGAACAACGGACAGCAATGGCTACACTGCTGTTGTATAAAAACACTTGCGCGCATTCTGTGTACTTTCCTCAAATTCACGGTAGAGCGGAGTCAAGAATGGCATTCGCGAACATTTCCAGAATGTCGATATCGAGGAGACAGTCTAAAATGTCGGCGGCCTCGGAACGACGTTTAAGATCTGACGGTAGCAGTGTGGGTATACATTCCTTCTGATAAAATTCAGTCACCCTTCTTCAGTTCCTACACTTCCGCCGTATACCCGCTGCCGGAGAACGGAACGAAGGTCGCGGCATGGGAAAAAAGGACGAACGATGAGGGAGAGTATGCTGATGGTGGAGGGAACAAGGGATGGGAGAGAATACGGGGTGAATTACAGGATGCGTGCTGTTTCCTTTTCTGGGTCGTCTCCGTTCCGCATTTTTTTCCCCCTAATGGTTTTCATGAGCTTGGAGGTACCGCATTATTTGCGGTCTTTTATAAAGCGAAGATAAACCTCGGCAGTTTTTGCTTTCACATATAATATTAATCTCAGCGATTCTCAAAATCAATAAGTGCATTGATACATCGGAAATTTGACAGGCTGCAATTATCAATACGCGTGTGTCGTGAAATTGGCGTACATTGTGGAAGAATTTTGAGAAAAATAAATAACAGTTAGAAAAATAATAATTCCGCGGTGTTAAGATAAATATTCGTTTGCTTATTTAAAATGTTTTCTCTGTTTTTGGTTTTTGTTTTCTTTAGTGGATTAATAGAGTAAAAATGAAGAGAATATACATGTAGAGCGAGAATAAAAGTTTTTAAACATAGAATGAAAATTAATTGATTTACAGGATGAAACTTCAGACTATTCATTTGTTTAAATATGCAATTAAAATTTATGTAACAAAATGTGTGTTAGATTTTAGCAACATCGTGAAAGATATTTTGATATTTCTCTTTAAATATAGGTATCACTTTATGAGTTCTTATAAATATGCATGCGGCAGATAGTTATCTTCCACTAAATTCTGCTCCTAATTCCTTTTTACCCGCATTACCTTAATGAAACACATTAAAAGTTTTCTTAAATATAAATTTGATAAATAGCTCTTTGTAAGAGAAATATCTTCTTGGCAGGATTTGTTTCGATTGTTCGTTGTATTTATTTAAACTTCATTTCTCCGAGTTATTCATTTACTTGCTCGCGTAAAGTTAGAAACTCTGACACTGATTTTGTCGTTTCACTAAAAAAATGTATTCTTATTTTGTATATAGAAGCAAGGAATTCTCGATAGGGCTCTCGTTATACATTTTTTGCCGGATCTCTATTTTTCTTAATTCATGACAGAAATATAGGATTATTTATGGTAAAATTATTCATAACCCAATTCGAAACACCAAGCAATATTTAAATGCAAATGTGTGCGCAAGTCTTAATTCTTATAAATTTATGATATTTTATACTGTAATCGATATATGCAATATACATTTCTTCATACTTATGCTAATTCGTTTCTCTATGGATGCCCTCTCGCAAAACTTACTTGGGCCGTGAATAACGTGACATTTCTTGGCGCCCTACCGTCGATACGCAGCACGTCCCCGTGCGAAACAAATGTATTAGCTGCGCACATTCGTGCGAGGAAAAATAAAAAGGTCTCACGTGTGGCGCGCATTTGCAATCCAAAACAGTACAAGCCGATACACGGTCGGCTCGCATATTCGCGGACTCGCTGCGCTTAATGCATTAAACGGGCGACTCGCCGCGGTCGCCTGCAATAGCCGCCACAATGGAATTCAATTTTCGCAAGCGTGGGCACGAATGGCCGTCGATAAAGAATGGATAGATCCGTCGTCCGACGAATGAAGGAAAGAGACCGACACAGGCTTTTAACAGGAGCCTCCAGAGCTGCAGAGCCGCTTTGTCCCCCCGTTTCCTCCTCCAGCCGCGTGCGAGCCCCCTGTCTGTGCTTGCATAGATCGTCCCTCGCTTTCCCGCTTCGCCCAGCTTACGCGAGCACCGCTAACTCCATGGCCGGGAGAATTCAGATAGCGGATACCGGATGCTATTATGCGCTACATATATATCCCGCGAACTTTACAGCCACTAGACTGCGATACTCTGAGGAATTTACAGTCTGAAAGATATTGCCTAGCGATATATGCCGGCGGCACTTCGCCCTTCCAGGCTCTATGTAGAGCAGGGAATCGGCGGAGATGGAAGGTCCCGTGGGATAAGGGGATGATTTCTGTCCTTAAGAGGGTCTATCGGGGGTGGCTATGTTGAAATCTTCCGAGGCCTACCCCTATTTTCTCACTCTCTCCCTCTTGCTCTTCCTTTCTCTCTTTCCTCTCTATAATTCTCACACTCTCACCGTGTCGCCAAGAGAGAAATACCGTAATGTCTGTCCATCTGTCAATCCGATTCTCTCCCTGTGTATACCTTCGATCTTTCGCCTACCGGGAGCGAAACGGCGTCCCATTTCGAGCGATCCGTGGGCGGACGGGAACAACCGTGAGCTTTTGTTTAATTCCGAGATTGCGCCACGAGACACTCGTCTCAAACGTTGGCGCGCGCAGATGGGACCTCGCGAGTTTTTTCCTCCACGTTTCATTAGGGAGGAGAGACACTCGATAGCCCGGGACGGCTTCCTTGCCGTAAATTTATAGTCTCGCTTGGAAAGTTTGATCGGGATTAAAATCACCGCGCGATCACGAGCGGAGTAATGGAACGCATTTGTTCTACTCGGAGAGAGTGTTTGAGGATACGGTTGCGCAGCAATCTCGGGCACGTTATCTCGAAGGAGAAGTACGATAGAAACGCAGAGATTTTATGATATTTTATAATTCTATTAGGAAAATTTTCAGAGCTTTTTTGCGCGTATTCCTCGGGTGTAGCTGAACCATGGAACTTCGTTCTATCCATCGACATTTAAACAATACTTTTTCAAAAGATAATTTAAGAAATAGTTTTCAGGTAATGTATTCATTATTAGAGCGCCGTAGTAAATATTAATATAATCACTAATAACTTGAAGCAGAATTTTTACGTTCAACTTATAATTACATGTCTTATTAGTGATTAAAGATTATTATAACATTAACTTATGCACTGTTGATTGTACACTCACAATGCCCACCTCCTTTTTGCTTTTTTGTTAATAATGATATAAATCTAAAAAAAAAGACAACTATTATTAAATTTATTATATATTGTACCTATGAGCGATAAATAATCGACTAATATTTGACGCTAAAATTGAGAACGTCACTCGCGCCTTCGTTTAAAAATTTAAACTGAAAAGTTAGGAACGCATAGTTTAAATTTGTGCATATATGTGCATACAGGTTGAACGTGATATCGGTTTTAGGTCACGTTTTTACAGGTGAAAAATTTTTGTTCGGCAGTTTTCCGGGCACAATTTGAAAACAAACTTTTGTCCTGGTTGCATGTTTTCGCGTAAAAGTAAACGCTGATAGTGACCGCCAACCTTTCCTCCATTACAGAAATCCTGGAGGTAGGATTCAACTGATACGCGTCTAAGCCGGGGATCCTGGAAAACTGTGCGACCGGCCAAGGGGCCGGCTGGAAACAGTACCTCTTCTTGCTGGCAAAGAGGATCAAGGAGCCTTATCGTACTTGCTACCCAGACGAAGAAAAAGAACTCGAGGAGAGCGAGAAGAGACGACGGAAGGAAGAGACGAAAGGGAAGAGAGCAGGGAACCTGAACGTAGCCGCGAAGATAAGTGACCTGAAGATGTCGGGCGTAGGCAGAAAGATGAAATCCCGGGCGAGACGCTCCAAGATCTCGTGATTGGTGTCAGCGGCTGGCTGAGGGGACAAGGTCGATCGCGTAGGTCGACCGTGATGGAGGCGAGAGCGAATGACACGTTCGTCAAGTCGGTCCTTCGAAACCTCTCGCTGACCCGCGAGCATCGGCACCTGGACGAGCCACCCGGAGGAGAGGTGGTCTCAAACGCCATCGATGTTGTCACTACGATCGTGCAGGAGGAGAAGATGGCGGACTTTCTGGGCGATGCCCTCGCGAGGAATGACAGCGACGTCGACGGCGGCGAGTCCAGTTGGTTCAACGACTCGACGACGACCGCCGCCGTCTCGACCCTGTCTGCCTCCTCGTCCTTCGCGGAATCCACGTCGTCGTATTCCACCTCGAGTGTCGACAACTACACCGGCAGCGTGTCCGACCTCTTTGCCTTCGACGACCTGAGCGATTACATCAACCGACTCAACTACAGCGTGCTTGTGAACCTGACGGCCTACTACGACGACGGTGCGGGTCTGAATCTCACTAGCGTCAATTGCACGTCGTCGATAGTCGCCGGGGGTGCCGTTAGGCCGGGCGAGTGCGCTGGAACCGCCGGCGTCGACGAGAAGTCTAACCCGAACAGCTGGTGGGCCCTAATACTCGTGATCGTGCCGTGTTTGACGCTTTTCGGTAACGTGCTCGTCATCCTAGCGGTGGTGAGGGAACGGGCGCTGCAGACTGTCACTAACTACTTCATCGTCAGCTTGGCGGTCGCCGATCTCCTCGTGGCGGTGCTCGTTATGCCGTTCGCCGTCTACGTACTGGTAAGTCGTAAGTCTTTGCAGGAGCAACGCGCATTCCATTTTTATTTTATCCTACATTTGCGTTAAAACGAGCACTTAATAATGAATGTTATTATCAGAGAGATGGGGTACATTCAAACATCTGTTTCTCTACATTTCTCTAGACGTTTCATTTCCCGATGCTTTCACAAAAGAATAATTTACTCTAGATATACATATATACAACGTACTAAGAAAAAAAAAAACACAATTACAATTATAATCATTAAATTGACGCTTATCTTATTGCGAGAGCTGCATAATTAGGAAATGTTACTTTTGCTGATTATCGCGTTCTCATTATACGAACACGAAGCGTCTAGTTGCAGAAACGTATAACGCACGTATATAATCCATTTATCATCTGGCGCGAGTAAAAATTTTAGAGCGATACTTCTGTCACAATTAATCACGTAAGACGTTCGAATAGAACTTGAAGATTTATCATCCGGCGGTTCTATTTCGCAATTAATGGAATTAATATTTCTAATTATAGTTCGTTGTATAATTTGTAAATAAGCTGAAAACTCCGGAGGGCGGAGTCTTGCATCGATCGCGAGTTTAGCTGCTAATTAGACGCTATACGTTACACAGCGTTTGCATGCACTCAATTACCGCCCTCACCTTCAAAGTACACGAGAAAAGGAAATTGAGTAGCGTTCACTTTTAAACACTTTGATCTTGCTAACATAGAGGTGCCTGCTATTAAAAACTAGGGACCAGTTTTTCCCACTAATCAGAAGAAAAGATAGATCTTCGAAACTTGAAATGACGAGATACAAATTTGCCACAAGAATTAAGATTTAAAACTTTCGCTCGATAATTTAAAAATATATTTACAGTATCAGTGACAGAAAAGCGCGTTGGCTGGTTCTCTTGGAAGAGAAAAGATTTTTGAAAAATTAATTTATGATATTCAAGTATATTATATTGTAATATACGCGGAGAAAATTTTCTCTTAAAATTTATCTCGAAAATCATGTGGTCGTGGGACAACGTGACATTTTGCAGAACTTTGTGAGAGCTTTGTAAGAGTTTAGTATTATAAAATTTCAAAAAACTCTTATAAAATTCTTCGAAATGCCGTGTCCCACGATTACATGATTTTCAGGATTGAAAGAAAATTCTCTCCGTGTACGCTTCAATGCGTTTATCTAATATGTTGCCCAGTTTTCCGTTGTCGATTACATCTTGGCAACATCGATGCGCACTTTCTACGAGATTTTCTGTCAAATCGAACGTAATTGACACGATAATTGTTTCCAAGTGAAGACTGTATGATTTAAAGAAAAATAAAATTAATTCATTAAAGCTATTTGACTAATTCTATGGTTCATTGCTGGCGAACTGGTTTGTTGACTACGCAAACATTGGCTAATACAGCTGTCTCTGAATTCGCTAATTGTAACTATTGAAAATATTGACATTGCATATAATGCATTTCACTTGATTAGTAACTTGAAAGAATTCAAATACTAAAACTTCGTTTCTTGTATTTACGTAAACAACCTTAGTAACGTCCATAAAAAATACTATCCGTCATTTTTGCGTGAAGTTATCAAATATGTATGTGAATTATTGATCGACGATGAAACTAAAATTGCACGCCTAATAAAAATTAAATTAACTCTAAAAGAACAAGTATTAATTGATTTTGTGAGCTGTATTTGAGAGATTTATTATAGAAATGTATTACTGTAGTTAACGTATTTTTATATGGTAAATGATTATTTTATTATATAAATATTATTTTAACAAATCAATAATAAACCCCTAATTAGAGAGTAGTAATTTTAGAAAAAAAATACAACTAAATGCCGTTACATAAAAACATGGAGGATCCGAGTTTCATGGTTCCACAAGAGGGAGAAATGTATTTAAATATAAAAGTGTTTCAAGGGCTATAAATTGTAAGACGGAATAAAATTTCACGTTACATTACGATCGAGACGCTGCCAGTTGTGATGTCGCGTGACGATAACGCATAATGCGACAAAAAAGGAGAGGTTATTTATAATAAGCGAGCCGCTGAGAACGATATAACGTTACGAATCATCCGCATTGAATTTACCCAATGGACTTTCGTGCATTTGGTTTAATCGCCAATTAAATACGCGCTGCGGTGACGGTGCTGGAATAGCTACAATTATGAAGATGATGTCGAGGCTAAATGCTATTTAGCCACGTCAATCAAACTTCCAGTAGTCAAAAACAGTTTTCGTTGACTCTATCATGATGTGTATAAAATGCGTCTATTATTCTGCAAAATTGTTACCGTTTTTCTGACATTGCAATAAGCAGGTGAAATGTAGTAAAAAACGTTAATTAACACATCCGGGAAAAAGAAGGCGGCAATATAAATAAAAGTGGCCGTAAAGATGGGGACATAAAATGGAAATAGTAAAACTGGCAAGAGGCAGTTAAATATGGATACAATACAATTGAACAATGTGAAAGTAAAAAAGCTGGGTGATTACAAAATCAATTTGAAAGGTTAAAGGTTTGCTACGAGCTGAACGCAAACACAGATGTGATGTAATTAAATGTGTAAACGTTTAAAACAAACGACACGAAAGATCAATACACGTATAATATAGAAATACGCACACAGTTTGGATCCTTATATTACTAATAAATAGAAGACTGTAAAGTTAAATTGTGCTTAATAAATCAATTAAAATCTTCAATTCCAAAGACTATTTCCCGATAAACTTTAAGTTCCGTCTAATGGACGAATTATAATTGGATTTCCTTTCTTTCGCGACTGATATGTCCCGCGCGATTGATATATTTATCAAAGTATTAAAAAATAAGAAACAAATTGAATTATTTATTTTCTAGGATCTCACGATAATGTCCTTTTTGTGGTTGCGACATTGTGTTAGGATCTTACTTCTAAGTCGAAGCGTGGTTTAGAATTGCCGGATCTTTGTTTCAATCGTTAGCAAGCCATTTGCTTACCCCGGCACGTTTCGCATAGATTACATCGCACGTCTACACGTGATCTTATTTTAAAGTCGTCAGCGGTATCAGAAGACGCGTTTCGTTCCCGATGCACGTCTTTACAAACGCGGAACTGAACCGGGGAGGGGGCGGGGATGCGGGTTGCGGAAAACACGAACAAACGGCAATTCTCTAGAAATGGAAAATCCCGACGCGTGGTCCCATAAACGGCTCGCTCGACTCGACCTCGGTCCACGATCTCGATTTCGGCAGTATGCGCCGACCGGATTGAACGAGACAAAAGTGCAATCGGTCAATTAAGGACTACGTCCGTAATACCGCGTGCGAACGCTCGTCAATGCAGTTTTTGCGCATAGGTATATGTATATCTGGGGACGCGGTCCCGCATTTCCTGCGGCACGCAACTTCATCGCGATTGTGCGTGCTTGCTTGCTTGCGCGCGCACACACGCGTGTGTATATTTTCGGTGGAATTGTCGACAAAGACAGATTGCTAAAAAATCCGAGGTGAAATATTGTTTCCCGTACTGCGTCGCGACAGAATATTCCCAGATTGCCTCGGTAATCGGAGTCGGGAAATAACTTTCGGGGACTTTGTTCAATTCTCTTCGATGATCCTGTTAAAGTCGTATTTGCCAAAAATTTCAGATCGTGCTAAGACTTTAGAATTTCTTAAGCACGGCTTGCACTGAAAAAACAATTTTCGCTAACATAGCTAATTATAGTTTGCTAAAAGTATTTTGCCAACCCCTAACCATCAATTTCTAAATCACAGCAAATGATTTGCGTCTAATAATAAGCACAGTAGTATAATATTTAGCTATCATAACTAAATATTAACTCCATATTTTACAACTAAAATTTCGTTGCCACACGCAGGTTTTAGCTACGGCAACTACATTTTTCTTTTCCGCGTGGTTATTGTACACTTGTCCCGTCGGAGTATTAAGCAATTTCTATCGTGATAGAGTTTCGCTCACTCAATAAGCATCTCGTGTGTCACTGCGCCAGAGTTAAATAATGACTTGGACCGAATAATTTGCTGGTTTCGAGATTGAGTTAGTACGAACTGTAACTGCAATTTTCGCATTAACATGGGGCGCCTATGTAATAATAACTGGATGACGTATCTCGAGCAAGTTCACGACCGTGATCGATAAATTTCTAATGGTCGGCGGAGACCTGCGTCTGCCGACTTGCCATTAATTTCAGAACGGACAGAGAGACGAGTGTCCCGTTTTAATTGCACCTTAAATAATCCCATCTCCCGCTCTGGTATTCTTGACGCCCTGCCGAATGGCGACCGGCGCCACGGCAGATTACATCGGTATGATAAAATCAAGGTGCACCTTCGCCTAAGTGCAAACGCGGCGGATCGTCACCGGGGACCGTCCTTCGGTTGCTTAAATGGTCGTTCCGGAGTCTCGCATTAAACGATTTACTAGCGGGGCATACGTGTATACGCCGCGCGACGAAAGCGTCGTTGTTGGGTTCAGGGCCACTTTACGCTCCTCGCGGTGTGCTCGGCGTGGCAGCGTCATCCTCCCTTTAACGACGAGTGAAAAATGGTTGCTTTCAGCGCGTTTGCACTTGGAATTCCTTCAGCTATGCTTCCGCGATGATATTCCGCGAGGTCTCCGTAGCTAAGTCGTATAAGTTGCGATCCCCCGCGCTCAAACAATCTTGTCATACCAGCCGGTAAAAGGAAGACGCTAAAAGCAAATCTGATATTTCTCCCCTAAAAGGGCATCGGTTCCGAAGGATACTATTGTGAAAATGATTACATTATACAGAAACGCGAACGATTTTATTTTTACTCATAAAAAATCATTCTGTTTTATCAGTAAACAATTCAATTATATAATAAATATATTTTCTATATAATAACGTTGGAATATGTAATTTATAGTTCAATCATTTTATATCTTTCACATCAAATATTTAAATGTTTTCAAAAGTAATAAACGAAGATGAAGACTTCGTGGATATAAATAAAAAAAAAAGAAAAAGGCTATAAGA